AATTATATTAATTATATTAATTATATTAATTAATTAAATTTATATTAATTAATATAATTAATTATTAATTAATTTCAGGCTGACTTATCTCATCTTCAACATACTTGTTGATGCCGTCGAAATCTCCGCCGACTCCAATATAGTCCACGCCAATCAAATTTCTAATATAGTAGATGTGTTCGGCCACATCCGAAACGCTAGCTTGAGGTCCACATTTTACAAAATAATTGTAAAACGTGACCATCACTAGTCCGCCGTTATCAGCCTGGAAACAAGCATGTGAGAATGGAGTGCGTAATTCTATAGTTGAGCTATTTGAACGTGCCTTGCACCGTCGCACCGGGAATTTCAAGCCAGCTCAATGAGAGGTGTAACGCGTAATTTTCCGCTGGTGCACGGGGAAAACTATACCCTAGCCGCACCTTTCGAAAACGAAACGTACAACCCCCGGAGCGACAGAGGGATCGATAGAATCGACGAGCGCCGGAAAGGGAGACCTCGTTATCGCGGTATCACATTCACCGTCAACTCGGTGCCGTTAATTTTCAACCTTGATAATTCGCCTCTTAACGAGCTAGAATGAACCAAGCGTTCCTTAATGGAGCACAAAACTTGACAATAGGAAGGAATCGCCGCTAGTAAATGTTTCGAGGTGCTATTGGAACTCCTGGCGCCGTTCTGGGATAATTATTTGCCCGCTGAAAGAAGATCTGAGAAGGCAGACAATGAAAAAGAAAAAGGTTTTTATCTTCGACATCGTGTTGGTCTTTTGTATCGTCAATTGTTTACAAAGCGCGAATTTTACCGGAAGAAAATCATTTAACTCGCCACGATATTTTGATTATTGTCGATGTTGTAATTATTGAAATAATTTCTGCAAAAGGAAATGCGTAAAAATTTGATTTAAATTTCTTGAAAATTATATATGTTATTATATAAATTATATATATGTAATTAAAAAAATATCCTTTTTTATCTTCTAATGGGGACAATTAATGGAAAATAAGAAACAATATTAGATGAGTTTTATAGTCTATAAAAACTTTTGTATACTTACCAGTTGTTTAAGAATATCGTCGGGCACATTTCTGGAGGAATTACAAATAGCGAACGCAGAAGAGTGTGAAAAAATGAGCGGCGCTTTACTGACTCTTAGAGCATCCCTCATAGTTGCCCTTGCAGTATGACTGAGGTCTATCAGCATTCCGAGCCTATTCATTTCTTTAACTACTGTCTCGCCGAATGCTGTCAGGCCTCCGCCTGAAAAATATTGAAATCAATATTATTTTATTGTTTGTATTTTTATGGAATCTACATTAAAAAGATTATGATGATAGATCTTTTAAAAGATTATCTATTTTATTAATATCTATTTTATTTAATAT